TCCGAGTAAGCTGTTTGTTTGATGACACACTCGATGGGTGGGCAGACACTCCAGACACACCGTTTTTTTTTTTTTTTTTTAATCCAAACAATTCAAAGGTGAATTTTCTCAAACCTTACAAACGGTCGAATTTGTGCATTCCGCAGGTCCAGATGAAATCAACATTATTTTTCCATAATGCGCTGATGGCAACGTTGTGTACAGGTGCTCCCCGCTTTACGAACTTTCGTGTTGCGAACAACGGTACATACGAACATTTTTGCGGGTACAGATATGTCGAAAATTTTTCTCGGACAGAGATGCTGTCAGTTAGATTTTGTATTGCGCGCCTTTTTACGAGTACTGTAGTACTTCTTTCCGCCGCTAATACCGACGTGAGGCGCTGTGAGAGGAGGAGGAGGAGGAGGAGGAGGAAACGCCTGTCCCCATGAAGAAGTTCGAGACGGAACTCTCTCCCCCTCCATCATCTCCTTAAGCCATCGAGTACATCTTCCAAAAGTAAGTTAAACTTCATTTTATTATACTTATATAAACCTTAAACACACTTATATAAGCCTGAAACATACATCCCATCCAAAATATAGCACTGAAGCAACTTACGTACGAATTCAGCCAACGAACGATCCTTCGGAACGTATCTCGTTCGTTAGCTGGGGAGCGTCAGACGCTAGCTGAGATGGACTCCCCCCCGTTCAAAAGCACATTTCTGCGTGACCAAAAAGGTTTTCCGGACACACATTAGGCCTCTTGTACACCATTCCAACGTGTACAAGCTTCTCCTCTCACCTCAGGGCCACAAGAGCCCCGGTCTCACTCACGCAGGTGGCGATGAATCATCATTAGGCCGCTGATAAAGAACGCGATGAAAAGAACAAGAGCGTTTTGCCGAGCTCGGTGGGCTGCAGTGGGTGGCTTTCCCATTAAAGCACAGAAGCGGCCACTCCGGAAACATACGAGTGACGAATGATCTTAATTGCTGTGCGTTGCGCTCACAAATAATACGCCGCCGCTTTGTTTACCTGCTGGTGTTTACATTCTCCGAAGAGGACGAGGCGAAGAAGGGCGCTTGTCGAAAGACATTCAAAAGACGTAACGGAGAAGTCATCCGAGTACTGAACGCGACCGTATTTGCGCTTGTTAGTTGCACGCTGGAATGGGCTGGCGCTCCATAAAACGCCTTCCCATGAGGGACAAAAACAAGCTTGAAATAGAAAATGTTAGGGGATATTTTGCCGATTTTATTTCATTCTACTTGCCAGTGCGATGGCGCTGAGGAGAAGATGAACAACCTTGCCTGGGGCTCATCAACGCGATACAAAAGCAGCAATGAGTTGTAATTGTGTTACTTTTGGAATATGTTACAACACACACACACACACACACACACTTACACCCCCAACGTGGGTTTTTTTGTGGATGTATTTCCTCACATCAGCCAGTCAGGGCACGGAATTGCAATTGCCCACACACCCTTAGATTTACTTAATTCAAACAAGTACATCGGTTGCAGGTGATTAAAGTGCGGTAAAAAGATGTCATTTTCCTGTGTCTTCCTCAAAAATGAACAAACATTAAGTGTTTTAATTGAATACATTTTAATCATGTGCAACTGAAAATCAAAGTTCGTTTTTTTTTTTTTTTACCATCATCTGAAACCGCTTTTATTGACGAGGGTCGCGGACGTGCCGGACGGAGCCCATCCCAGCTATCTCCGGGCAGCGGGCGGGGGGACACCCTGAACTGGTTGCCAGCCAATCGCGGGGCACATTGGAATACCCGGAGAAAGCCCACACAGGCACAGGGAGAACATGCAAACATCAAAAAGGCGGGCCAGAGCCTGGATTCGAACCTTGCACCACTGAAATGTTGAGGCGGACATGCCAACCAGTTGACTGCTTTTTTTTTTTTTTTCCCAGTGCAGTAAAAATTATATGTTGTTGTGGACATACGAAAATCCATATGGAGACCTCTTTGAAATACCGAAATCCAGCCATCAGTTTTCTGGAGCGATTGCCCTTATTTGGGGGGCATGGATGGGGGGTGGGGTCTATCACACCTGACCTTGGCTGTGAGGCACATGGAGGGGGAAGAAAAAAAAAGACGAAGGAATCATTACAAGTCAATATCGAAGCACATATGGACAAACAATGGACTGGTAGAGCCCAAGAAGAATTCACATTCACACCGAATGGACACTTTCAAGACTTCACTTGCTTTTTTTTTTTTTTCAAAAACAGACAACAAAAAAAAAAAAAGATTCAATTTTAAGGCCACACCATCCAGATGTAGCTGCTCGAATAGAATACACAGGAGGAGAGGAACGCCAGCGACTAACGATGGGCGAGCGCATCGAAAAGGGAGGAAGAGCGGCCGGGAGCGCAGAGAAGAGGTCGCTTATGCATCGGGGGGGTGGATTAAACGAGATTAGACGCTGCAAGAGAGGCTGTAAAAGAGAACATGAAGAGTACAGTGCGAGAGGGGAGGGGAAGGTGGAGACCCCCTGAAGGGAAGCAATCGTGTGTGTCATCAAGCAGCATCTTGAGCTGAAGCCAAGTCACCGCGGAGGAGTATGACAGCAACACAAGAGAAAATGATCAATGGCATCACACGAGCAGCACCTGTACAAAACCTGAGATCATTACACGATGGAGCTATGTGAAAAAAAAAAAAAAAAGGGATTGGGCACCTTAAATTCCATTTTTCATCAGTACAACCAGGCGAATGGGGCACATCGGAACACGCACTTCCCAACCAGATGCATGACAATAATACTGTGCTCGCACACTCGAAACTCACCGTACGGTCATTGCACACAGCTAAATTTTTGAAGTTTTTTTTTTTGTTTGTTTTTTTTTGTCTCCGGGGACCGGTCCGGTAGATGAGCCAGTTGCTATAATGCAGCCTTTTTGCTTTGCCATTAGGAGGGAGAGTAAAGTCGTAGAGTCCTTGATGAGAGGACAGAAGAATCCCTGCAACAGGTGCACAAGGTGAGCCAAGCCCAATCCGCCAAATTCGTCCGCTGAGGCTCCACCGGTGGCGCATAAATGTGCTTTGACGCGGCAGTATCGGATTACTGTTTGTTTGTGCGCACATCCACAATTTATATTCCTATCCTATAGTGAACATCATCCACTTTATTTTAAAATAAATGACATTGTGAGGTAATAAAATCTTCCAGATATGGAATATATCCACAATGAACACGGCACAATAAAAGCCACATTAAATTAGAGCTCACCTGAAGCATTGTGAGCATATTGTGAGCATATCATATTCATATTCCCGCTTGTTAAGCACTAAGTGGAGTCAAACGTGGAAAGCGTTTAGCAGCTAACCTATGTGCGCCACGCGGACAACTGCAAAAAGAAACCTGACATAAACCTCAACTTTAACGATCGTGACGAAAGGCAAGTGTATTTAATTTCCTAACCGAAAGCCTTGAATGAAAGTGCGGTCGTTGAATGATTTTACTTTACACGTGGAAAATCAATACTTTCGAAATGTAGCAATCAAATGTAAAAATGATGACAGGTCACCTATAACGGCACATTTCTGGCTTCCTTGTCGTCTGTCGGAACCTCCACATACTTTTCAGAGGTTATTTTCACCTTGCAAAGCCGACTGCCTATTTCCGTGTCTTACAATCACATCGCATAATAATTCATGCGACGATCCAGATCATTCCAAGGGAATTTCGGATTATTTTCTTCCTACTCCGTCTTCATCTCAACATGTTCCCTCGTTCGACCCCGTTCCTCCACACGACACATTCATGTGCGTGCCTGTCACCTCAAACCGCCACAAACACAGCCGGAGGGCCAACCAAAAGCAGCTGAGCTGTGTGAGCTGACGTGATAACAGCCGGTGCCGCCGTGTGGGCGCAGCAAAGAGCGGAAACCGGCTTTTTTTTTTTCTTTCTTCTCACGTCGGCAACCAAAAGACAAGACCTCTGCTATCAGCTGTGGCGAGCCCTCGGTCGGTGCTCATCGCCCACGCAGCTCGGTCGACGTTGTCGCAACGTTCACTTGCAAATGAAAGGAGCCGAGACGCAGTCTCTCCGAGCTTTGACTTCAGAAGAAAATGGCATGCCGCTCTTCAGTTTCCACTCTGACTCGACCGACTGAAGCGCGAGGGGGGGGGGGGGGGGGGGTCGAGGACTCTCCCGAAAACCTGTCCTTTTCTCATTCTCAAGGATCGCCAACTCAAAAGAACGAGAGCAGAATCACTCCATGGCGCCGGGAGTCCTCCGGGGGAGCTGCCCGTGGTGCTGAAAGCTCTCCCAAACCCTTATTTTTTATGTTCGGGGTGGGACTCAAATATCCGGGGCTTTGAAGCACATACCTTGAGTTTAATAAAAATAAGAATACTTTCAACATGTGGCTACAAATGACGTTTGCCATGTGCTATCACCTTTTCTCACAAGGCCAAAATGTTCGCCGGGTTTCCACGTTTCCCTGCATAAAAAAAAAAGGCAAAACGTTGAAATTCCACTGGAATGCAGATGATCGCTTGGAATAGGTTGCAAGATACTGCCATCTGAAGGCAGTATGGCCACACTGCAACAGGAACAGTAAGCCAAAACAGATACAGCAGTCCCTCGTTTATCGCGGTTAATGGGGACCGAAACCACCCGCGATTAACGGAAATCCGCGAACTAACCGCCCATATAGGTATATGTACATGTGTATGAGTATAAATAATATTTATAAGGCCAAATTTAATGGCATACATGCACGTTTGTAGTAATTAACATTACTTAATGCTATATACTAATATATTTAAACATGTATAAGTTAGGTTAGGTTCGTGTATGATTAACGAAATAACAGTAAACGCATACATGTAGTACTGTATATGTTGCTCTATGTGACTCGCTGTTTTGCTGACTTTCACTGCCTCTTGCAGACTTTTTTGCGGCATTTTAGTTTTTTTTTAATGAATGTTTGAAAAAAACGCGATGCACCGAGGCCGCCATAAACGAATCGCGAAATAGCGATGGATCACTGTAAAATTTGGAGTAGACGGATGAATTGTCTCTTTCCAAAAATGAGAACATAGGATATATCTTGTCAAATCATTTGATGGTAGTGATTTACTCAAATGGGTGCGCACGTAAATATCTCACTACGCATACCGTCATTTATTTTCTGCAGGCCATTTTAATGAGTTTTATCAAGGTCATTCGGTTGGTGGGACGTAAAAATATACCAATGCCTGCTTTTCAATGTTTAATATTCCGTACATTTTTATTTAT